GAAGGAGGTTTCATGGTATTTGTAGAAGGTGGATTACAATTTACAACCCTGGCAAGATTCCTTTTGTTCCAATTTATGGGTTAACATGATTGAGATATCAACCGACCTTGACTGGTACAAGGGTCCCACCCTGCTCCAGGCCTTTGGACCAGATCAATGAGCCCACGAGGCCCTTCTCATAAGCCTCTCAGGTTAGCACTTCAAGATGTGTATAAGATTCACTGCTTCATTGCCACACTTCACACATTGCTGTCAAGTTTGCTCAGCTTGAGAAAGAACTAAGTTCTTGAAGAATAAGCACATTTGAATAAACTTTTTTTAAAGTATTTATGGGAGAAACAATATAAAATAATAAAATTATCTTTTTCATAAACCAAAACAACTTACACACAAGTTAATTTGTAATTTTTTTAAGAAATTATATGAGAAAATTTCTACAAATAAATTCATGTATAAGTTAATTTTAATTTATAGAGAAACTTATTTTATTTTTCTAATTATTTCTTCTTCTTATAAGTATTACTGTAGGAGTTTATCCAAACAATTTTAATGATGAAGAAGGTTTGGCATCCCGTGCACCAAATCTATAGTTGTTGATATATAGTTTCTCTCATTACTCTTCACTTCATTAAATGGTGATTTCAGAAAGAGAAGTATTGCTAATTAACGTTCTCTCAAACATTTCTTTAACACCCACTTAAGAAGATTAGTTAAAAATTATAAATAAGTTTTATAGATGTCACAATTCACTTAACGGATCTCTTCTTATTCATTAGCAAAACTTTGTGATTTTCAATGAATATGGCTATATTTTTGTTTTTAGAAATGGCAAGCACGCAATTAGGGCGAATTTTGACATTTTATGCACCTTAGTCAAAATAATAAATTAGTTTTTTTTTATTTTTATTTTTATTTTTATACACGAAAGCCCTTTAGACTCTAGTATTAAAATATAAAAATATATTTTAGTAAAAAAATGACAGGTAATTTTATTAAAAAAACTGTACACCTTATTTTATTAAGTGTATAATATAATTTTAGAGATGACGGGTATAATCATATAGTATGCAGTACAATTTTTATTTTTAAAACAATTTCTTCAAACTTAGAAAATAAATGAAATGTGTTTTTTTTTTCATAAATCAAAATATACATAAATTGAATGGTTGTTTATACAAGTAAATTGAATGAAGGTTAAAACACCAACGTGCAATACTATTTTTTAAAATACTTTTAAAAACATAAAAAATAGGATATTAATATACGTACGAAAAAAATAGTAAGTATTTATTATTTTTTTAATAGGAGATATTAAAAAAATTGAGCTTCTTCCAATTAGGATTGAGAAGCAACTGCACTTCCAGATTACACTCAGCCTCAGGATTGGGTCTGCATGCAACCTAATTTGATGGTTCATGGAAGACACATATTTGATTTTCATAAATTAATTAACATATTCCCTCATTGGATAACAGTACTTTGGCTCATAAATGACAATGCAGAAAGAGTAGGTATCGTTTGGTTGTTTTCTAAATTCACACGGCACGACTTTGCTTGCATGTCTGTCTGTCTGTCACAAACTAATGTTTTTCTTTATACCCTCTCAGGTCCTGAATAATTTATTCATTGCCTAAAAGTTCAATTTACGTTTATTTCTTCCCAAATAGAAAACACATTCTTTTACAGATCGATTTCTACCTCAAGGGAAATATATGTCGAATAGCGTGAAAAAATAAATAACAAATTTAGCATAAGAAATATGGTGTCAACACTAGTGATGGTTAGATGTCTTAATCTTTATATTAAGTTGTCAACATTAGTGTTTACGGTAGTTTTATATAATAGTTTCTGAGTTTAATTTTTTTAATGATTTTTGTTGTTGTTATTATTTTTCTTTATTTGTTACGTGGCAAAAGGTTTAGTTATTTTAAGAAAAAATATATTAATCTTTGAATCTTATGTATTAATAGAGAAAGTTTAAAGTAGTTTTTGCTTGTTCCATTGAATATAATTTGACTTAAGTTTCGTGGATAGAAAAATTAGTGTTGAAAAAACTTTGTCCTTTAAGTCAATTGATACTCTTGAATCTCAAAAGCTAACACTAACAAGTGAGAATTGTCCAAGTTTTTATAACTTGTACTTTAATCATATTGGTAGTGGGGTTAGAATGTTTGCTAGATTTTCTGGTAGATGAAAATTGTTTGATACTACCTCAAAAGTCAAAACTTTATAAAATATAAATTATACCTTAATCATATTCATAGTGATGTGAGATTTCTACAATATGATTTGACATGAATTTTGGGAATGCAAAATAATATCTAAACACCGAATATCTCAAGAACATGTAACAAATTTGCCCACGATTTATAGTTGTAAACCCATATAAAATCAAAAATTGCGACTTTAATGTCCATTAATCCGCATTTCTTTTGTTGTTCGCATTCATGAACTTGCACATATAAGTAGAAATAGAAAGAACTCACCCATTGTTCTTATAACATGACCAACATTTACTTATTTGTTTGAATAGAATGGAAAGGAAAATTAAAATAAGAAATAGAAATTATTATCTTTCGTTGTCCGTATTCGAGTAAAATGAAAAAGAAAATGATAAATTTATAACGGAACCAGCATAAAAATAACTTCTACACAAATCAAATTTGAAATTTATTTTTACATGATATTTAGTTAGAAGGAAATTCATAAAAGAGGAGGAAAACAAAATATTTTCTCGTTTAAATTTAGTTTTTCTTTAATATCGGAAGGATTTGAATGGAGAAGAAAGAGATCGAAAATTTGAGCATAATGTCTAATATAACTTTATTTATGTCTTTTACTTTTAAAATTATAAAGATAAATCAATTTTAAAATATTTCCCTTCTTCTTATGAATCAAATACAAAAAAATTACTTTTCATCTTCTTTATTGACATCTCTTTCACCTCTTTTTAACCAAATATAATTTCTAAATATTTCCTTCCCTTCTCCTCTCCTCTATTTAAATCATTCTTCTTAACTCCTTTTAATTAAATCAACATATCTTTAGAAGGCAAAAACTCAAATTCAAAATCATTTGTTAATTTTGAGCAATCATATGCTAATTGATTCACGTATTCACCAATACTCTCTAGTGTGTAAATTGCAAATGTTTTTGTTTTAATATTTTAAAAAAAATATTTTTTATAATATAAAAATAATAAATAATTTTATGAAATAAAAATAATGTAGTAAAACTTGAATTAAAATAAAAATATTTCTATATAATTATTTATTTCTTTTTACTCTCTGTTCCACTCGTCCAATCAATTTAAGGTTTTTCTAAACTTATTTTCTTCTTATTTCTATCCACTCAAAACTTTTTTTTTTTCACTCATCCAAATAGTTGAAGATATTTTTTTTCGCTATCTGTCTTCTTATTTCTATCAATTCAAACAACACATTATTTCTATCTTCTTTTTGTTCCTTCTTAATTCACCTCTTGTCCAAGCAACATAAGTCATTTTTTTTACTATATAAGTCAAGACATTTTAAAATAACATATAGTTAAAAGGGAAAAGATTTGTTAGATCGTGCGTGTAAATTTTGTTAAACTTGTTTTATATTTTTTTCTATGATAAAAAAAAATAGTGAAAAGGTCAAAGCTTAGGTTAATCAAAAACCTTTTAAAACTTATCAGACTGAATATTTTAATCAAATTAAAACATGTAGGCATATAATAATGATATTACTACTGTTATATTAAAATTTACTATAATGTTTTGAAATTATATATTGTTAGTGTATTTAAACACTTAAATTTATTGGCTTATTTATAAGTTTACAACCATTGATTTATTCAGAGGTGGTTTTCTATTACTTACTTAAAAAATAATTTTTTAAATCACAATAGACTTCTAAATAGATAAAGTTATGCTATTAAAAAATATTTATATGAAATAAATGAGCGAGGTTTAAGTATTAAAATTTGAAAAACAGATAAATATTAGAGATCATACAAGGAAATTTAATACACAAAATCTTATATTTAAACCCAATTATTGTTGTACTCGCATAAAAAAAATAGTCCTTTAGTTTCTGTTTTAGTGTATGTATTATATAGGACAAATAATTGTTTTATGTAATTAAAAAATTTATAATAAATGAATATTTTTAATATGTAAATTATATTATAACTATTTTTAATAATAAAATATTAAATTATATAAATTATGTTTTAGACTTATAATAAATAACTTCAATTACAATATAAGATTATTTTTAATTATTGATAATTTAAAAAAATATTAAAATCTAATTTAAAAATAAACATAAAAGGACAATAGTTTGACATAATTTAGATAATGTTTTTTAATCTACTTAAGAAAGTAATGTGTAAAACAAACATTTAAACAAGAGAAAATGAAATATATATATATATGATAAGAATGAAAGTCTCTCTCCAAAATATTGAGAATTGCTATCCTTTTGTGTATTTATTTTCCCTTTCTTTTTCTGCCCCTTGCCACCCAATAACCCTATGAAGTTTCAGGTATAGAATGATTTCTTTGTATCTATCTTAATTACATAAATCAATACAAGACACTAAAAACTACTTCCTGGAAATAAAATTAATGGAATCAAAAGAGGAACGATACACATTAACATTTTGTTTTTCTTTTGATCATATATATCTACATTTCCACCTTGCTATCTCAATTTCTCTGGCACATAGGTGTTTATTCAATTATTTTCCAATCAAAATGACCATTTTTTGTTTCTTTTTTCAATTGTAATAGTCTTCTTCACATATCTCTTTCATACATTCTCTCTCCAATCAGTCATGTTTGAGCAGGAAAAATGGGTTTCCAGAAGTGTAAAATCAGATCCACACCTCTCTTCCCAAGTTCTAAATGTGTGGCTCAGATCAGAATTACCCACCTTAATCAATGTCATACAATTTTTTTTAGGGCAGACAGAACCCAGAGTGTAAGGTACGTAGTACGTTGTGAGTAGCCATCGTACTCAAAATTTTAATAACATATGTTTTGGAAAAAAAATTGAGGCATAATCGAAGTGCCCACATGAGAATGGACGACGGTCCATATATGCAAGATCAGAAGAAGTACTAATTAAGCATATGAAAGCACTATACTAGAAGAAAAAAAGATCCACATACGGAAGAAAGAAGGGCATAATAATGAAATTAAATAAAGTGAAGAACGTACAAAGTGGTAGTGATAATTAATTAATTAATTAAGCAGCTCTTGCTATCAAACCGAGATGAGGATCATGCAAATCGGTCTCACCTTTGGCCTCCACAAAGTTGATCTGAGCACCCATTTCTTGATTTGCATGCATCCCCTCTCTTTGCTTCCTCATGGCCTTTCTTCTACGGTCGTGATCTGCGATCCTACATAGACCACCACCACAGTTAATTAGAAAAAAAAAGAGTGTGATATGAGAGAAGATAATGGAGTGTGGTGTGTTAAATTATTAATAGATGAAGAAGGGTTACTCATGAGAGAGATGAAGAGGATGGATTATCCCTGAGAGACACAGAGGAAGCCCATGACTGCTTAACATACGCTGCATTATTTGCTTTCTTTCAATTGCAAGGACAACTCTTCTTCTCTTTTATCATCATCTCGAACATTTTTTTTTTATTTTCTTTTTCTATACTAAAAAATAGTGTTAACATGATTTATTTTATATTTAAATCTTAATCATTTTAATTAAGAAACAAACAATTATTTGATTAAATGTTAGCATGTATATTATATTTTTGGTCATTTATGAGTACTCCTAACTGGGTGACGTCTCTGCTGTCCTATCCACGAACCCTTTATGGCCCATACATGACAACAATGAATGCTTTCATAACTCTGTAATTATGCATTGTGTTTTTGCATTCCTTTTTTACTTGTTTGTCGTTTTGAAGGGGCGTCTCTATCATTTTCTTCGAACTTATCTCTTCATCTAATCCCATCAACATTAAATAACTTATAACTTCATGATCGAATGAAATCTCTACTATACGTTACTTATTAAGTTAAAAAAAATTGATGGTCCGGAATTTTAAATATTATCGTTAAGAAATTAATGAAAGTAATATGCAGTTTTTTTTAAAAAAATTAAATTAACTGTGTTCAGGTTAGTATCCACCTGATCAAACTTAAGAGTCCTAAAAAAAATTGAGTTTATGACGCCAATTTAGAATATTGAATAATGAATCGATGTAGAAAACCTATTTGAATACTTGTAAAATAGTGCATACCCCTAACATACTCTTACTCTACCATTGTCCGTATACTTCCTTGAGGAAATTTAACTCATTTTTACTTTTGAATAAGAACTTGTTAAAGATGCAAGAAAAAAAAAAGAAAAAAAAATTAATTTTATGTGCTTAAACTTTTAAACTTTTTAGATAAATAGACGGTGGTGGTTATTAAATTCCAACTGAAGAAGCATTAAAGACACAAGTGTGAGAAACCTGAAAAAGCATTTGCAGAGTGGTGCTTCATCTTAAATCCATACCAAACGTAGTTGGAAACTATTTAATCCTCAATACCTTCTGTTGCCTTTAATTTGCTTCGGTATTCCGCTCTAGTCCTTTTTAACTAATTACCGTAAGTTATTCTAAAAATTATTCCCTTTAACTAATTTAAATTCTAAAAATTTCAAAATTTTAAAATTTCTCATCTAAACACACCAAAATAAAATAAAATATTATTTTCCCTTTAACTAATTACCGTAAGTTATTGTACTCAATTTCGTTTACTTTTTTTTTTGGGTGAATCTTAATTGCGTTTAATTGAGCATACTATGTTAGATAACTAGTTAGGAAAATACTGCATCCTCCGAAAGATGAAACCGAAATTTCTTTCGAATTATTAAAAAATTAATTTAAATAATAAAATATTAAATTAAACAATTATTTTACAATAAATTTATTAAAAAATGATAATATTTTAATATTTCAGACACTGATTCGGAATGTCTTTCGGCTTCTACAGCAGTGCTCAACTAGTTATGTTATTCGGCTAATTGATGTACCATACTAACCAGTAACCATCAACGTATGACCGACCTATCAATCTATCATTACTTGAAATTTGATCATGATTATCCGATCATTTGAAGCAAAAATATTAATTAAATATTTAATATATCATCTGTCTCTGAATTTTTTTAAACTTTTAATTAGGTTCTCAAATTATAAAAATTTGTAATTATGTTTTTGATCTTTTATAATTTTTTGTGGTTTTTTTTTTTTTGACAAATTGAATCTTTAGAGTTAGTAAAATACTCACAAATTATAACTTTTGTGACAGTTTGCAACTAGCATAATTTAATTACATGAACTCGATTATAAATAAGTATATTAAGGACTTAATTACATGTTTTTAAAGTTTAAAGACCTAATTAAAATTTTTAATGTAGGATTAGAAAAAAGTATAATTTCCAATTAATTAATTAATAAAAATTGATAGACAGAATGCTTATTAAAGTCATTAATTTCTAAAAGAATTTCAATACGAAAACTGTTGATTGATTGCTTTGATGTAGATTTTGGGTGACCATTGGCATTGGCAATATTCATTGTCACTAAACATCCGAAAGTCAAAAATGCAGACCAAGGCTTAGCCTTAGTAATTGATTTGGAAGCTGAACTTCAATTAGACACAAATGGGGTTATTGGTTCTTTGATTGTGAAGTAATAGGATGAAGCCACTTTCAAATCATATAAGAGAATGGTAAAGCAAAATAACACTAGCTATGTCTACTTCATCAGTATAATGTTGCTTTCATTTTCACTCTGTTTTAGTTCTTATCAATTCAAAGTAGCAGCCTCGGTGTTAGTGGATTGTTAATGGATTCTAAAGCAGTAGGTGGGTACTTAAGATGAGCTTAATTGGGTTTTTAATTCATAATTATCACAATTACTTCTTAAATTCTAATAGCGTTAATCGAATCTCGTACACTGTCTTTGATTGATGAAAGAAAGATATATAGATGAAAGAAAGAAAACTGAAAAGAAGAGAAAAAAATAAATAAAAATAAGATAACTATTTAGTTATTTAGTAGAAAAGAAAAGAAAAGAGTTAGTGGAAAAAATAAATATATATAACATAAATATTGTTAAGTAGAAAAGAGATAAATTAAAGAAAATTAAAATATATAAAAAGTATTATATCAAAATTTAAGATAGATTAAAAACATTTATTTTATCTATTAAGTAAAATGAAAATAAATCCTGTGAAAAAAATATTTATTTATTTATTTATTTATAGTGAATATCTATACTGCATAATAAAAAGATAAAAAAGTTGTTAATAGAAAAAAATAAAAACTCAAGAGAAAATTTAAAAATATTAATACATTTTAAAATTATTTATTTTATTCTTTAAAATAAAATAATATTTTTTTATTTGTTGTAAACATAAATGACACAAAAGTATTTTATACCTTTTACTCTTTCTATTGTTATTTTTTCCCAAATTGGAAACATTTTTTTATATGAGACCCACCTTACTTTTTCATGTGCACTAAACAAAGGAAAGATTTTCAATAAACATTTTTTTTTTCATGCCTTATTCTTTTCACCAACTTCCACTCATACCAAACAAAAAGTTAAGTTTTCTCTCATTTACATTTAAGTTTGTTCATCCTAATTTTATCTAACATTTAAATTATAAATCTGCTTTAAAAGAAAAGTCATTCCTTTAATTGTGTTCATTATAGTTATGAAAATAATAATTTTTTATATATAATCATATTATTAATATGAAGTATATCTTAAAAATAATATTTTTATCCAAAATTTAAACTATAAACAATTTAATTAAAAATAGCACTTGTGTGAACCAATAATTCATTAATCAGTATTACTAACACGACAATTAAATCAATACAACCAAAACACTTGTTTAGGTCACGTAGTTTAAATATTTTGTACTTTTTAGCTGGTACTATATTATATGTACTCATTGCAATGTTATTTAATTTCAATCTGTGTCATTTAATTCTGTTAGGTGGTAAATATAATCGTGATGGAAGGACCTAAATGTAAATAAGAGAAAAATTAAGAGATTTAATTTGCGCAATCAAAACCTCCTAAACTAAAAGCACACGTAATCGCATTATCTTAGGGAGTAAAAATACAAGCTTTTAAAATGATCATGTGCACACGAACTTGAATTACACTTGTTTATATTTGTGTGTGGTCTCATAAATCTCCGATGCTTCCTTCTTGAACAAACCAGTTCTGCTTTCCCAGTAATTTCAATGTTTATAAACAGAATCCGAATGTCGTTGCAAGTTTGGCAAGTGTACTAATCGTTATTGTAGTAATAATATTATCGTCTTCAGGGATTAAATTTGTTGAATACTAGATTACTAATTTACGTTAATTTTGAGCAATTGAAAAATAGATGGAACAACGAACGTAAAAAATTAATAAAAAAATTCACTCAATATTAAAATTGTTAGAGAATTGATTTCATATTCTTTCCTATAGATTCTTATCCTTTTCAATTGATGCAAGAATTGTAATTACCCACTTGAGTTTATTAAGAGTTATTTACCCCTAATCTCTTAGGCAAGTAAATTTATTCATTTAATCATAATCCCCAATTCCTTAGGAGAATTATGAAATTCAATAGAATCATGAAGAACAATTATCATCTCAAACACAAACTAATTAGATATGTCCAATTTCCCAACTCTCAATTGTAAAATTGTTCATAGAATAAACATTAGAGACATGGATAGAACACTGAGATAATTAAAATTAACCAAACATCAATTGAAAAGGTTCAGAAACTATGATCCAGAATATTACATCAATACTATAACAAAAAGAAAATTAGTTCTGCATAATGAAAAAGGAAAAACCAAAAGAGATTGATGAGCCGTTCATCTTCCGATGGTGAGTTGATCTCCTCTTGATGAGTCGTTCCTCTCTCTGACTATCAGTTCTCCTCCTCCTTTTTTTCTTTTCTTCTAATTATTCCTCTTTTATTTTCAGACTTTTTTTTTAATTCCTAAGAGTTGTCTTTTGTTCTTCTTTTCATTTGGCCCAAGCCCACAACCTGTTTGTAGAATTTTCTAACTTCAACTCTTCCATCTTAATATTTGCTCTCTTTAAAC